AAAAGAGGAATTCATAAGCAATGTAAATGTAAATACAATGGAAAACATTCTACTAAGAGACAAAACTCAAGACTACTTTAAAAGACAATTGCCTACCGTCAAGTAGGTTTACTCCAGGACTGCATATATATACATATATATATATATGAACTACAGACCTTACTCAGATTTCATCAGTTTTGCATGCACTCATTTTTTGGTACATCTTTGTGTACAGTTCTATGACATTTTATTACATATATAGATTCATATAACTACCACTATAATTAAGATTAAGAACTGTTCTGTCACCAAAAGGAACTCCCTTGCGCTATTCCTTTCTAGTCACCGACTCCTGTCTTTTGCTTTTTTAACTGTAACTATATGCCACACATTGAAAATGTTTTCCCCATTGAGAAGCACAGGAAATGGCTTTTAGATCCAAGTCACTTACCTACTTGTTTCTTGTTATCATTTCTAAGTTGTTCATTTTCTGGCCTTGAAACTTTGTGTGCTTCAACTATAGAAGACATACAAAGTGACAAATCAGTTCAGGATACATAATCAAGAACTTCTGTAAGGTTAGAAACGGGGAAAACCCTCCAACACAAAACCTGTGCAATGCCCACAAAAATCTATATCCCCCCCCCACCACTATGAGTCAAATCTGAAAGACTGAAGAACATTCTGTTAAGTTCAGCTTAAACTTTCTAGGATCACTGACATACAGTAAATCCTTTTTATGAATATAGTGTAAATGGAAAATACTGATCAGTCAATTAAGGAATAGTAAATAGCTAAAGTTCTACCTCGCCTGTGCTCTTGATTCTCTATTGCTTTTTGGCTGGTAGATGGCAAAGGCCTGGTTGATACAGGGCTCCTTCTCCCAACAGGTGCTGGAGCAGGTAAGTGGGCTGAGGCGGTCTGTACTGCTTGTTCCATGGTTGGGCTTTTTCTCAAAGGGTCTAACTGAGGGCTTGAACGACCTAGAATGTAACCGAGAGATAAGAAACTACCCTATCCTTTGGGGATTTCAAAATAATCTAGACCCTACAAGAAAAAGTGTGTCTAGAGTTTTACTTCTATCGATTCAAATCCTTAGCTCAAACTTGAATCCACCTACTTATTAGACCAGAGTTTACAACTGGTTACCCCTAGTGGGCTGGTCACCAGGTTAATAGAGAAACATTAAAAACAAAACAAAACAACAAAAAAAAAACAACCTTCATCTGTATTTTTACCGAGTGGAATAAGGTTTAATTAAGTTTTCAAAAATTGTCACACATATATACTAATCTACAAAGCATAAAACACTATTCCCTGGTACAAGACTCCCTATAAGTATCATCAAAGATCATGTTGTACGGAGGTCAGATGCAGGCTTTCCCTAATAACCACAACCACAAGATTACGCTGACACTTTAGCCATTATTGACAGAGGCTTTACCCTTTTAGTACTTTCTGAATATGTGACTAAAGTGATACCCTTGTATCTACAGATATTATCTCCATTAAATTTTTATTATCAGGAAGTAAAGGACTATAAAATTAAACAGGTTTGAAAGATTTCTTGGCAAGTTTTTGCTTAATATGAATTGTGTACTTACAAACCCCATTTTTTCTTTTATGACGTTGACACCTGGTCACAGTCTGCACAGAAGAATGTTCCCATCATGTTTTTTGCCCCTGTAATGTTTGTGATAAATCTCTGCTCAGGGTGTTCTCAAATCCCCTGATGCTGCACCAAAATATAATGTTTCCTTAAAAATCTGCTCGTTTTATGTGAAAACACTCCCAAATATGCTGCAAATGCTACTATCAGCCTGTGCATGTTTGCACAGGCTCCAAACAACTGGCGAACTGATGGGTGCCGACAACGCTTAGTTATCATGCACTCAGATGCTGGAGGGACAGTTTAGTAGTAATATTGACCAAATTTATAGTTATCTAAAGTATGCAATTATAAATTTGTATTACTATTTCCAGCCCAGTGCCTGAGCTGACTTTGCCATTAATAAAGACAATGTAATTTTTCCATTGACTATAATGGGAAAAATCATGGTGGTTTATATACAGTTTAGCCTATGAGAAAACATTTTAGACCCACTTATACTTGTTTTTCTTTAGAAAAGTCTATTGCTGTATTTAATTTTACAAAAATACATTAAGTGATCACTTATGTTTATAAAACTTACTTCATCAAGGCTTTTCTTTGAGAAAAGACCCTGTGACTCCCAAGTACTAGAAAACCCTAAGGGATGGGGCAATCACAGCCAATAAGCTCATTCCTGTGTACTTAAAAAAAGCAATTTACTATTACAGTCTATTAGTCAACTTTGTTATAAACAGGGAAATACCCGTGATACTGGGCATATTATTAGGAAGAAACCAAGAAACCATTTCAGCATAATATAAACACAACCCTTGAGTGATTTTCACATCCTTATCACAACTAAAAGAAAATTAGAGGTGTTTTGCTTTTGTAAAATTCAGAAATTTTAGTTGGTGAAATTTAAAATGAAGATTCTCTCTTCTTTGACATTGCTTTCTAGAACTATACCTCAAACTTTCATCTAATAAATATGTACTTAAAAATTAACCTTTTAATCTATTTAACATTTATTCTAGTGCTTAGTTATGAGACAAGGAATCTAGAGTTATTTTTCCCAAACGATCAGCCAGTTGTCTACCCAAACATCATTTACTGAATAAAAATGATACGTTTATCATACTAAATTCTCATATACACTTTTCAGAAGCACCTCAGACTCTGCTGGGTGGCCAACATGGAGAACCACTGCTCCAGATGCTGTGAGGCAGCTAGGGAAGACACAACAGCATAATGAATAGTTTGTTTTTTCAGCTGATATTTCAAATTCATCAAGGACAGTTCATCCTCATGGTGAATGTGGGACTGATTTAATATAACTGAATATGCAAGTTATATAATTACAAAAAAAAAAACATGTCAACTTCAGAAAATGCTCACCATTTCAGTTTCATGATCTAAGAACTGTACAGCAGTCTAAATGAAGTGAAGTAATTCAATCACATTATTTCTAGCAATAGGACAATCGAGAAAAATTTAAACAGAACCAAATTCAAAATTATACATGTGATTTACAAACTGCAAAAGCTCTTACACTCAAAGATAAAATCATTATAGAAGTTCAGAAAGGAAAAGACGGCTGACCTTGAGATAACTGTGTTTTTAGAGATCTGGTATCCTGTGTGAAGGCAGAACCAACCGCACTGCTTTGGGCTAAGGTACCGCTGCTTGGTGTTTCCGTTCCAAAGGACGTCAAGGAGCTTCCAGCTTTGAGAGGTAGTTTTTTAATTAAAGACAGAAATTAAAAAAAAAATAAACCTTTTGATTATATAAAATAATATAGTATTTTAATGATAACGCTTATTTTATGATCCCTCCCATAACACTTAATTAATTTTTATAACAGAGTATTGCCTGCAGATGGGACAGCACGGACCCACATCAGAGAAGTAGCAGAGATGGTAAATTCTCAACCAACATTAAGGTTCAATTATTTTAATACCAAGTCTCTGCACAAATAGCCAAATTAGCAGGTATGTCCGCTGGAAGTTTTTCTAGCACTTCTAAGGCAACAGAAAATGGACTCTAGCTTTAATGCTTTCCCTGAGGATGTTACTATGGCTGCATTCTGCCTAAGCAACAGCAAAAAGTTCTGGTAATCTGAGTAACAAACTTCCTGGAAGGGTTCCACACTCTGCCATACTGGGTTATGTCAATGTCAATCTTACCCTCTAAGTTTCTATAGTACTTAAGGTTCATTCATCATTTTTCATATACCGTATTTTCTTCTTAATTATTTAACAGCCGACATAATCTTTAATAAAATACAAATATAATCACATTTCTATAGTGCTTAGGGCCCTTCGGTGGCTTTCCACTGCCCTCAAGATAAAGGTTCAAACTACTGACCTCAGTCTAGAAGGCCCTCCTTATCTACCTCCTTCTCACTTTCCTTATTTTCACTAGTCTAGCCCACAGCAGTTTACCCGTTTGCCCTTGAAATATTTAAAGATTATGATCATGCCCTTGCAATCTTCTCATTTTCAGGCTATTCAACTCAGATTCCTTCAACCACCGCTTACTTCACATGGTCTTTAAGACTCCTTTCTTTCTTTTTTTTTTTTGGACTGCTCCTAATTTAATGAATTCTGGTTGTTCATATCCCTCCTAAAATGGGGCATCAGTACACAGTACAATATTTCAGACAACGAGAGACACGGGGACTGCCTTGGAGGTGTAATTCAGTCAGGCTGTAGCCCCAGCTACCCAGAAAAGGCCTAACATAACCTACCACAACATCCCTGGTTGTTAAGACCAGTGCTCTCAATGATTCTGTGGGCAGCTGAACCCATTTTGTGATCCCTAGCATTCCTGGGCAATGCCCAATATATAAGCCACTCTGATGATGTGTATTCGTATCTCCATGCTGCTCTGTGCTTCTTCACTGACTCAACCCCCTACTACCTGCCCCCCGGAATTACCCATTCAATGGTTAGCAAACTTTTTTATTTCCTCCATCTCTTCTCCCACTTCCTGGTCATACCCCACCTCTTACCCCAATTTTGCTATCGATTTAGGTCTACAATCTATCTCAAATTAAATTATTTTGTGTGTATGGTATGAGACAGGGGTCAAGATTCCTTTTTTTCCAAATGGATATCCGTTTGTTAAAAATATTTTTCTCTCTCTATTCAACTGCACTGGCACCTTTGTTGTAAATCAATACTTAAATGGGTCTATTTCTATACTCTTTATTCTCTATCCTGATATCTATAATTCACAGTTCTGATTACTGTAACTTTACAGAAAGTCTTGAAATCAGGTGGTACAAACCTCCAACTTTATTCTTCTTCAAGACTGCTTTGGCTATTCTAGGTTCTATGTATTTCCATATAAAATTTAGAACCAGGATAACAATTTCAATTTTTAAACTAAAGTCTGATGGGATTTTGATCAAGACTGCATTGAATTTTTAAGTCAATTCGGGGGAAAGGGCCATCTTAAAAATATCAACTCTTTCAATCCATAAACATGGATAACTTCCCATTTCTTTGGATCTTCTTTAATTTCTCTCATCAACGTTTTGTGGTTTTCACCACAGAGCAGGGTTTTCTTAACCTTGGCAAAAATGACATTTTGAGCCAGGTAATTCCTTTTTGTGGGAGGATGTCCTATCCACTGTAAAATGTTAAGCAGCATCTCTGGCCTCTACCCATTAGATGCCAGCGGCTCCCGTGCCGCACCCCCACCCAAGTTGTAACAACCAAAAGTGTCTCTAGACAATTGTCAAATATCCCCCGGGGGCAAAATTATCCCCCCACCGTGGAGAACTATCATTGTAGAGGTTTTAAAAATACCTTTTGTTAAATTCATTCCTGGGTATTTGATGTTTATTTATGCAACTGTAAGTAGTGAGTATTTTACATTTCATTTCCCGATTATCTGTTCCAGATCAGATACTGGCAAATTTCTTCTGTAAGTGGCCAAACCGTAAATATTTCAGGCATTGCGGGCCATATGATCTGTCCTAACTACTCAACTCTGCTCCTGACTCGAGAAAGCAACCACAGACAACACATAAATGATGGGGGGTGGGGGGACTGTGTTCCAATAAATAAATAAACAGGTGGCTAGCTGGATTTGGCCAACAGGCCACAGAGTTTGTTCTAGAGTACTGTCTCAGGAAAAGACAGCTTCCAGTGCAGTCAGGGAGACAGAGGCACAATATGCTGACCCTGCTGTCTAATTTTAATCTGGATTTCTAGATTAACAGCGATGTTTTTCCTCAGTGGTCAAAACCAGGATGTGAAACTCTATGCCCCAAGGGGTCTTAACCAAGTGACCATCTGCACCCCTCAAAATACACATACTCAGGAAGACTGCTGTTACCAAGATATTTTTGCAAGACAAAGAAAATACATGTAAGCATCTTGTGACCATGATGTAAACATTCTGTAAAACTAGCTGTAATCACTAACTGTACTACTAATAATCAGTAACCAATCAGAGTGTGATTATTATAATATTCATTGATTTTCCTGTAACTGCCCTCCCTATGGTTTGGTTCCTCTTTTTACCTCATAGGAATACTTGTATAACAAAACTGCCCCAGACTACCTGGTTCCATTTTCAAATGGGCTACGTGGTTCCCCAATTGCAACTGTTTTAAACCTTTAATAAACCTCTGATTTAGCTTGAAACAGCATTCAAGTTTTTCTCTACAACAGCACAAAACTACAGTTGATTTTTGTATATTTACATGTCCCCTCCCTACCATGCTTATTTCACTTATTCATTCTAGTGGTTTGAATATTCTTTTGCATTTCCTATGTGCCCAATCATGTTGCCTTCATATAAAGACAGTTTTAGGTCTTTTCCAATCTTTAAATACAAATGGTGAGAGACATCCTTGCTTTGCTTTATTCTCCATCTCAGGGTAAAAGCGTCTATTACT